TATGCCGCATGGACACTGTACATTTACAGACATCCATGCCTTCTCTTTGATTCGAATGGTATCGAATTCGAAGGTATTCCTGGAATCGAATTCGAAGCTGATTACCGTCCCTTCGGAACGGCAGTCAGCTTCGGTAACCACTATCTCAGTTGGGAGGCTCAAGATAAGTTTCGGACATAATAATAATTTTTTTTTCCCTAACCTTACTTGTTCAGAGTAGATACAGAATATCTTTTTTTTTTTCCTCTAAATAATGAGCATAGATTGGAACAGCGAAAAAAAGTAAATAGGATACTATTATCTTTTTCCCAAATTCTTAGTACTCCTTATTTGAAAAATAAATAAATATCTCTTATTTGATGTAATTGATTTAAATACTTTGATGTAATTGATTCGTGTTGTCTTATTTGATGTAATTGATTTAAATCCAAGTTTTGCGATAAAGTTACTTATACACTAAGTGAAAAATCAAGGCATTGAAGGACCACACCCAAAAACAATTTTAGACAGAAAAGTCATCCATTTTGACTTAGTTTAGAACAGGCAGAAAAAAAAAATAATAATAATCTGAGACAAACGGCAGTAGGAAAGTAAGTTCGCCGTGAAATGAAAATTGTTTTAAAAGTCTGCCTGCCTTTCATATTAGTCCGCACAAGACCAGTCAAGCGCAGCTTGGCAAATATTAGCTTAGTTCTGGGGAAGTATTGGAAGGAACAAACTTTCAGATATCTTTTCTTGTATTTTTTTTTTCCTCTTCTTTAACTCTCTATATTTTATTTTCTTCCTCTTGTTACCTTCATTTTGAAGACTTTCATTATTTAATTCAAACCTTCTGCTGGGAAGGCAGATGAAAAGACCGGAGAAAAAATGTTAGCTTTATAAAAATCTTTCTTGATTAAATCTTACTCCATTGTCATCCTGCATCGCTTTTGGAGAAGGGAAAAAAAGAAACAGAAACATTTTGCATTTGTAAGAATACTGTAAGCAATTTGCAGATCTTGGTTTTAGTCTTATTGTAAAAATGAATTTTTTACGTTAATATGTAAAATGGCTTTACTTAGCTATTACATATGATACGCATAAACACTAGCTAACAGATTTCACGTTAATATATAAATGTAGCTGATAAGTTAAGTAATGTAACAGGCAGAAGAACAAATGTTGGAGAATCTATAGCAAAATGAATCAGCTTAGGTTTCGTAAATTTGCAGAACTACTTTCGAAGTTTTGAATAGAACCTTCTTCTTCAGTTGCAGGCGCGAAATTAACGACAGAGGCCTGTGTTCTTGCCAAACTAGTCTTATAAATGTTCTATGCCGATTCTTGTTGTTTTAGCATCTCTAAAAACCTTATAAATATATATATAAGTAATAATAAAATTCCATAGTCAAGAATACACTTAAAATTCTAACTGTATGTTCTTTTCATTTTTTAATGGCGACGTTCTCTTATTTGAAAGTACGTGGAATTAACCTTTTGAGGCCGGAGCTTTGGTAGCAGTAAAAGCTACCGAAGGACGGGGAATCTTGAACCGAATGCTTTACCCCTTTTCAGAAATCACCTCCTATTTGCAACAAAGATTCTTGTGTGCAGTTTAATGGATTCTCAGAGGGGTGTATCTATGTCTCAAAAGGAACACCTTTGAAAGAGATAAGTGGTTAAAACCCTAGGGACGTCAAATTTGACATTTTACCCCACTTTTCAGCCTGGAAAATGGGTGAAAAAGACATGGCCACTAAAGTGGACAACCCCGTCTTTTCAAAGAGAGGACTCTATGGCCACCATAATGGCTATCCCGTCTTCAAAAGGTTAAATCCACAGCCCCGTAGTCAAGTTGTTTTTCCCGCATTTTCTACACGTACAGTTATAGAATGTTCTGGAAATATTTAAAGCGAACTGGATTGGCTGACGAGGCTGACGTCATTTCTTGGAAGCTCCGCCTTTCCAGAATCTATAAAAGGACTCGCAGAAGGAATAACTGGGCTTTTTCTTAAATGTCACGATGCAGTAAACTTCATACAAAACGTTATTAGTAATTCTTTTTATTTACTCCGGATATCTGATTTTGTAACTGCTATTTCTCCTGAATAATAATAAATGGATCCTGTTTTTTTTTAAACTTATCGTCTGATAATTTAAGCTACGACTAAAGCTGGTACAACACACACATATATATATATATATAAGATTACAACTTTAATTTTCAACAACTCTTGATGAGTTTAGGACCCCTAATTTAAAACATAATTTATATTGATAAGCATTTTTAAAACGCATTCACCATATCTTTTTGTATCCAAAGATAATAAGAGGCCCACCAGCGGCAGAGTGGTAAAGTCGCTGAAAACTGGTAGCTCGGTCCGAGGTTCGAATCCCGCGAACGGGCTGGCTGCATGGGCGTTTTCGTGGTTTTCCCCATGTGTAACGTGTGTACGAAACAGTTTCCCTTAGAAAGTCCTCCACGAAGGCATCCCTTCCCTTGGGCAGATAGCCCTAGTGTGCTTTGCCATAATTAAATAAACCAAACCAAAAACAAAGATAATAAGAAAATAGTAAGTATTAGGGAAGGTCAATTTTTCATATATGGTTAGTTCATACATTTCGTTCCAATGCAAAAATTTCTAATTTAATGACTTTGAAGTAGTTCAAATTTATTGGCAATTATTATTATTTATTTATTGCAGTTTATAAGGTGATTTTACCCTCTTTCCAGCATACCTTTGTGGCGTAACGATTAGCACATTCGGCGCGTATTCGATATGTCCTGGTTCGAGTCCAGGAGAGGGAACTCCTCATTTTCCATGTACTTCTGCTTCAAGAATACCTTTACAGTGGCGCCCGAACTAAAAGGCGGCTTATGATGATTCTTCACCACCAGAATTTGAAGATTGTATCCCCTTAATTCCCAGTCGCCCTTTTAAAAAGGAAATATATATAAGGTATCAGTAGTGGACGCACCCCGACCCACCTAACCAAGAAAGTTGGTCTCATGGTCATAAGAGGCCACGGCCATTTCAACAAAGGAAAATAATTGAAACAAGTAACTAAACGAAACTAATCATGTTAATACTAATCATAAACATAAAAGTGAAGAAAAAGATCAAATGCAAACATTTTGACAAGAGCAAGCAGACAAGTATAGGAGTATATAAGGTGTCATGTGATATACCAAAGCCCCAACCCACCTGGTTAAAACGGGAACTGGTAAGTCCAACAACAAACGATGGCATCCAGCCCGTGTCCCAAGCCCAACAGAAAAAAGAAAAAAATTATCGTATACAAAGGAATAATTGCAAAGCCCTTGGGAAACCAAAACCCGAGAACCGAGTAGCAAAAATGGTTAGTAAAACGCAAACATAAGAAACAAAACAAACATCTGGCAAAAGGTTGCAAAACTGACAGCCTATAGCCAGAGAAACACACATAAAAACTGAAAAAACTTAAAAATTCAAAATTGTTAATAAACCATAATGTTAAGAACACGCCATATAAAACATACACACACATAAAATCCTCTCTGCACCAAAAATCTACATTTCTTTTTCTTCTATATTCACATGTACAATATCCATAATATCATCTTCATACACTAACACCAATCAGTCTTTTATTATTATTTATTATTCTCATAATGTCTCTGGTAAATTTAAAGAAGTATATAAGGTATTTTCACCCTCGATCCAGCATACCTTCGTAATGTAACGGTTAGCACACTCCGCACGAATTCGAGAGGTCCAGGTTCGAGACCCGGCGAGGGCATTGCTCATTTTTCATGTACTTCTGCTTAAAAAATACCTAATGTATCTACAATTTGAGTTCAGATTTATTGATATTAGGTTCGAAGAGTGTATATGTATTTATAATATCTATTTGACCGGAGAAGTTCAATACACATTTCAGTTTTTATGTCTGTAATGGGAACATATAATTTAGTAAAAATAATATAAGAATATATTACTTTTAGTTATTTGTTCATTTAATAGCTGAGATAATGCTATCTAATTATATTTATATAACTTTAGAACATATTTGAGTATAACTAAAAAGAAATAATTACACTTGATAAATTTATAATATTATTCAGTTTTGCAATATGTTTATTAAAAGTGCGGGTTTAATTCCTGAAATATGTTACAAAATAAACTTATTTTTAAATGCATTATTAAATACGCTGAAATCCATTAATGATCCTAACAAAGTTTAAATTCCTCATTTAGAGAGTCTGGAATTTGTTATGTATAAATGATACTTTTACTGTCCGCTAATGCAAATCTCCAGGGTGCTTCTCAGACTTCCTCCTATCACCAGAAATTAATCCCACTTCAAATCCTTCAGAAATTCAATTAATATTGCCTCGGATATCAATTAAAATCTCTTCTGCAGAGGAGATGTTATCCATAATTAATATGCTGATTATGAAGCACTCATTCCTGAAAGGTCGCTGTCTCCTCAATCCGACGTAGATGCCCCGAAGTTAAAGCAATGAATAAGCTTGCACAGTCAAATATCTTCACATATACGTGGCAATCAATCAAACGGCGGGTATATCTTATTAACATATCATTACCTTAAAATGTTAATTTTAAGATGAATCTTAAATTTCAGTATTTATTATACAGTTATACTTAAAAATGCAATTAAGGTTGGCTGTAATGGCGTTTAAAGTATTTTAATGATGTAAAAATGATATATACCTAAATGGATTTAATGAAAATTATGGTTACTTTATTCTTACTGTGGTGATTTCTATTTACGTTAAAAAATGATTTCTCAATGCATGACTGTTGTGTTTTAGCCACCGCCTGATAAATTAAAAACTGTTTGTCTTTCTGAAAAAGGATTAATATCTTAATTATTATTTAATTATTAATATTATTACATCTCTGAAGTTGATTTTGCCCAAAACCTTAAACAGTATGATTGAGAAAATAGTTTTTGTTTCCGTTCGCCATAAAAATGCGATGTCTGGTAGAAATGACCATTATGCCATTTATTTTTAGCCTTTTGGACAAAAAAACATCTTTGGAATCCGAACAATCGATTGCTCTCTTTAAATCGAATCTGGTTTCATCTTTAGAGGTGTGTACTTCGGAATATAAACCATGAATGTCTTCAGGCTTTGAGGCAAAGTTGGAGATATATTTCCTTCCGTAAGTGTGTCGCAATTCTGCTCTTCCCTTTCGGGTTTATGGTATTTAAATGTAACTCTGAGAAAGGTGTGAAATTCCCTCAAGAGAATGCCTGAAGCTTTTGGGGCCGCTGAGGTCTGGGATTAAGTGTTTTGAAATCGTTGTCGTTTTTGTTTATAGATATATAAAGCTTCAAAGGAGAAGATTGCTTAGCAAATCAATTATCATCAGTTTGGCCTACAGGAAAATGTGAGTGAACATGTAGTCCATAGTGTAAGTTAGGTAGCAAGCGAACGATCCGTTGTTGGAATCATGGAGAGGATAAAAGGTATTTTCCACCCTTATTCCAGCATGCCTTCATGTTGTAACGGCTAGCACATTCAGCACATATTCGAGATGTCTCGGCGAGGTATTGCTTATTTTCTACGTCTCCTGTTTCAAAATATCCTAATTACCCTACAGTTTCACCTAAGCTAAAAGATGGTGGATGATGATTTTTAACCGCCAAGGATTTGAAAATTGGGTCTCTGGTCTCCAGTCGCCCTATAAAAGGGGGAATTTATAAGGTATTTTTCTCCCTTCTTTCTGCATGGCTTCGTTGTGTAACGATAGCATATTTGGCGCCTATTTTGATTCTTTATCACTGATTCCTCATCAAGCAGTCCATTATTTATTTATTACGCCTTATTCATTTATCGCGCAAATGATTCGATTTGTAAGAAAGGTTCATTTTTTATTTGGCTCAAATCAGTTACACGTTTTACAATTTTACAAGTTGTTTCGTTATATTTTTAGCAACAAAACCGCAAAAGAACTAAGAGAATTTAATGAAATCTTAAATTTATTAAAATGAGTAAGATTTTAAAGATTAGCAAATACAATTTTTTAATGTGAGTGATTTAAAATAATATATCTTACATTTAAATCATGATAATTTTAGTTTTAAGATGCATTGCGAATACCATAATAAGAAAATTTAATGATTTTTTTCAGCTTTGAAAAGACAGCTAAATAAAGTATAGTATATGTTGGTCCAGTAACAAACTATCTAATTGTATACATATCTGCAAATACATATTGCTAAAATATCACACTAAATATTTATATTTAACTTTTTTAACATAGAAATGTCCTACTTCTATTTGTTAAGAAATAAAATTTTAAGCCTATTATTAGTGATGTGCATTTCTAATTGATTGGTTCATATGTTAAGTGCAGTGCTGGATTTTGAAAGAAGACGAGAAAAGATAATGCGGATTTTCTCCATGCGTCCGTGTTTTAAATATATGTATAGGCTTTTAAATCAAACATAAAAATCATGAGTAATCTTTAGGGTTACTATACAGGGTGTCTCAGACCGCACAAACTCTGCAAACCAGATTACTCGCTTGGAATACCTAAGAATGGCTCAAATATCTGTATTTGTACGACCCATATTTGTCGAGAAAAATAGGAAAGAAAAGTATGACATCATATACGATGTAAAACGTAGATATCTGCATACCAATAGGAAGATGTTCAAAATATCCCTCACGCATATCGAACCATGCATTCGAACGACTTGAAATGCCTGACTGTACATGTTGCAAAAGCATGGTGTCCACCAAATAAGTGCAAGCAGCCATGAAGACTAGCAAGTAGGTCAGTTTCTGTAATATCTAGGTCTTGATAGACCACTTCCACCAGATGGCTCCATAGGAAGAAATCCAAACGTGCCAGATCTGGTGATCGTTCCAGAAAAATCACCAGATCTGGCACATTTGGACTACCAAGTCCGTAAAATTGGACCACCAAGTCCACTGCAGCTGCCTGGGTATTCACTATCCAGCCAGTCACTTACGGGAGCTCTAAAATGAAGCTCAATCATGATGGAACCATAGGCGTTGTGGCGGATAGACGTTATACGTTTCGCATTTATCTCGAAATCTATTGATCGTACATCAGTTCTTGAGCATTTTCTATGTATTCCAAGCAAGGAATCTAGGTGTGCAGAATTTGGACGGTCTTGATATGACACCCTTTATAGCAAAACATGATCATATCAATAGATTGATGTGTATATCCATGAAAGTAACTATACATATTTGTTTTTTATGCTTTGATTGGTATAGTGGCTAATGACGCTACTCGTAGTTACCATATTGTTAAGGCTAGGTTCATGTTCAGAAGGTCTGTATGTAAGTATAGTCAGTCTATGAGGCATAGGAGCACTTAAACTATTGACAATTCCTAAAGAATGTATAAATTTTCAGACGTCCGGCTATTTGAAATGCAACAATAACAACATATTATCATATTTTACAGACCATCTAGCAGTATTTTGACTATTACGTAAGTAGCTTAAAAATACAAAACTCTCCAATACGTGTTTTGATTCTAAGACTCCTTACTAAACATGTGTGCGATTAATTAAATAATATCATTTTTAGTTCTAGAAACATCATAGTATATTAAATGAGTATTAAAAAAGTAAATTCCTAATATTAAAGGAGCTTTACAAAAGTAAATTCATCTCTATAGTCACTGCAAAATGCTATCATAATGATAGCATCTTGCAGTGAATATAGAGATGAATCAATAATGATAAACTATTTATATTTTAAACGAGCTTTCGTCAAATATTTTGAAGAAACTTGTTTGCATCAAATCATTTGAAGAAATCATTCGTACCTGCATTGCTTTGATTTTTTTAAATATTTTGGTGCATGTATTGAACAGATAATTGTTATATATCATTCAGCATGAAACGCAATAACATATATATTTAATTAAGTAATTAATTTCAACTATATTTTATTTTGGAAAGCACTTTAATATTTTAGTTAAATTTATAACAGTTAAATGCATTTATATCTGAGATAATATTTTTTAATAAAGAAAATTAAGAAATGAAGGAAATGGAAATCATGAGATCACACAAATTTCTTAATTTTGCTCGAAAGTCCAGCTTACCTTTAAACCTTTCACATATAACTTTCGAGTCCAACTAGATAAATCTACGTCTAATCATCAGATGAAGCGAAAAGTTTTTCGTAAACCTGTTCAAGCATAATTTCATTTCTGACCTTCATACAACGGAATACTTCGAGATTTCTTGGAAGGAAACGTGCAGGTGCAAGCTTCAAGCTCACTTTCCTTAAATAAGAGGCAAGTTCACATATGCGCCGTTTTATGGCCACCCTCTAATTTTCAACGCTTATGTTTTTTCAGGTATGCAAGGCTACTCCACAGTTCTGAGAAAATTAACTGAGCGTCTTTATTGCTGCATCCTTATCGCCTGATTCCCATTTCGCAGGTTCATTTGCGCGTGAAATGGAAAATATACACTTCGAGTAAGAGCCAAAAATGGGAAACCCTATTTTATACCTCACTTTGCAAGACATTCTCAACTTTTCCTTCTTTTTTATTTTCATTATCTTAGCATTGTGCTTCTAAGAATTTTTCCACGCGGATTTGCACCATTTTATCGCAACCCGGAGAGAGAGAAATCTGGAACTTGAGCTTTAAATTTAGCAGAACAGAATTTAAAATGAACTTGAGAGGATTAGCGTAGGAGGTAAAAGAGAGACTAATAAAATCTATAGGAAGAGAAAAATTCATTAATTTAATGTTTTTTAGCGAAGTTTGCGAATCGTAATTGGCTCTTGCAGTACCAACAAAGAATTGGTAAACAGATTTCCTATCTTTTGCGAATCGCTAAAATGCCAGGATTCTTTTGAAGTGTTAATGCATGCAGAAATTTAACATTTCGTTGGAAGGATTTTATTATTATTATTCTTATAAAGTTAATTAGAAGTTTGCTGTTTCCAAAATCCTAATTCTTTTTTAACATGAGAACAAATTGTTTTTTTTTTTTTTTTTTTTTTTTTTTTTTTTTTTTTTTTTTTTTTTTTTTTTTTTTTTTTTTTACATTAGAATACTAGAAAGTAACTTTCAAATCCATTTAATTAGTATGTTAAATGCATAACAATGCTTATTTACATCATAACAGAAATAATGCGCATAATATTAAAAACATTGCATGTAAAAATTCAGAATTTTGCACCAAGTAACATATATTTTAGAATTTTATTTGAAGAATAATATTATTCAGAATACTGAAAATTAAAAAAAAAGTACGTCTATTAACTTTCATTTTTCTAGATGCCTTTTGGCTGCACTTCCATATGCATATATGTAATAATAAAATTCCATAGTCAAAAATACACTTAAAATTCTAACTGTATGTTCTTTTCATTTTTAATGGCGACGTTATCTTATTTGAAAGTACGTGGAATTAAATCCACAGCCCCGTAGTCAAGTTGTTCTATTTGTTCCTCTCTATTTGTATAATAGAGAGGGAGAACTAAAGTTTACCCTTTAGTTTAAATTATAATTTCCATTTACTTATTTTTATCTCAGTATTCAGAAAATATGTAAATCAAAATTATAATTTTAACTAACAATAACCCCTAAATTCTCCTTCTTTATTCTACAAATCATAATAAGTTCCCTGGATTGTTCCATCGCCTGCATAATTCTGATGACGGTGGTAATTCGGAACCTAAGCTCGAAATTTTGAGAACTAAATCCTTTCTGACCCAAACCAAAACCATCTTCTTGGAGATCTTACATATTGGATAAATGCGTACTTTAACTTCAACTTCTGTGCTGCTTGGATGCTGTTTCACTATACTCTCTTCCAACCGCAATAGTTTAAAAAATTTAAATGGTATAGAAATAGGTACAAATAGATTGCCAAGTAAATTGTTGCCACAAGTGTCAATTGAAAAAAAAATATTTAATATTACTCGGCTGCCAGTTTCCTATTCATTATTGGATCAGCATTCTACGCAATCAAAATCCTTGCTCTTCATTACGGATTCAACCTTCTGCGTTCTACCCATCAAGATTGCTAAGTTCACTTTTTAGTACACACATCCCTTTGTTATTACACACACACATATATAAATGCGAGTAATTAATTCTTAATTTATAGACAAAAATCTATAACTG